CTTTTTTATTTGCAGCATCTTCAGAGTTACCTTATAGAAATAATCCAATTTAGCTAACTTTAAAGAAGTTGTCATTCAGAGTTATACTAAAGACTTAATTTATATCATAAACATCATATGCGTACCGCTATGTCTCACACAAACAGTTAAATTTTGTTGATTCTTGAATATAAAATCTACTATTTTGGGCACTAATAAACCACTCCTATGAACGGTAAAAGAAAGAATGATCTGCTAACATTTTTACTAACTGTTCAAGACATGTTTTCGCAGATAGTTCTAAATACCTTGAGCAATCTAAAGTATTTCGCAACCCTCGTTCCTCCACTATCAAGAAATGCGAAATGCTGAGAATCGATTTTTCAAGGCTTTTTGCTTCTGGCAAAGAAGTGAAATACGAAAATGGCGTCTCTACGTTAACTATTCCTTCTGCTACACTGAATGATGCGGGTCACTACGTTTGCGAGGCTGAAAACATTCACGGCACTGCTCAGTCTAATTGCGTTGTCACTGTCACATGTAAGTTGAACACCTACTGATACCTCAAAGAAAAACTCAAAACAAAAAAATGGATATTAATTTTCGAATTTCTAGCATCAACGGAGTCGGACCAGTCAGAGCCAAAGTTCACGCTTCTGCTGACCGATATAACAGTGCAAGAACAAGAAGAAATTCTACTAGATTGTTGTGTCAAAGGCAAACCAAATCCAACTGTTACTTGGTACGTTTACCAAAAATAATTTGGTAAACACAAAGTTTTCGAAAAATATCATTGACAGGTACAAAGATGGTCAAAAGCTTGCGATTGAAAACCGTATGCTACAGTATACGGATAGAACTGGTCTAGCTCGTCTTAACATCATGAATACTGTGCCAACAGATTCGGGAGAGTATTCCTGTGAGGCAGTGAATGCATTGGGCAAGGATGCAACTGAATGCCATGTGAAAGTTGTTGGTATGTCAATAATCGTAGTATTCTCCAGATGAGTGAATGCACAACTTGAAGAGAAAAGGTAGAAAGTAATTAGAATTGATCTCCATGGATGTTAGATCCTCAAAGATATTTCATCTCTCAAATTTTCATTGTTGATTTCGTTTC